CAGATGCAGGAAGTGAGTCACCTGCATCATGAAGGACCCCACTCACCCAGCACACACACTTTTTGCCCTGCTCCCCTCTGGAAGGAGGTTGAGGAGCATTAAGTTTAGAACCACTAGACTGAGGAACAGCTTCTACCCTGAGGCTGTTAGACTCATGAATCTCTAACCAGGACAATTACTGGGAAAAAAAAATCACATGTTGCTGCTGATCTCTTTCATGCTGCTGCTGATCTGTTTCATGCTGCTGCTGATCTGTTTCATGCTGCCATTTTCATTCATGCTCACACAGACTCATGTTTGTGCTGCTGTTCGACAATTACTGTTTTTCTTTTACATTATATACTTTTGTTGGATGTAACTGGGACCCTGTGTACACAATTTCGTTCCACCACATGCACCACATGTGGGGCGAATTACAAAGAACTTGAATCATGGGTACTCAATACTTTAAGCTGGTGTGTAAGAGCTGTTCGTGAAGACATTTGTAATATGAAGTGTAATGTTTTTGTTCTGAACTTGTGGTTCTATTCAGTGTTTTCTTTGAACCTCACAGTTTTGCAAGCATGTATTTGAGAAATGCGAGTGATAATTAGACCTGTGCACATTTCTGCGTACTTAAAACGTACATGATTTAATATCCTGATGCATGCTCAATAATCCTGATCATGATTTAAGTTATGAAATGCTTTTATGCTTCTGTCCCTTGGGGAGTGTTATTGAACAGGAGTAGTTCAAAAGCGCAGGACTTTTCCACAGTTTTGGTCAAGTTTAAAAAACTTAGTTATTTTACATTTTGTCCTGTCACTTGTGCTTTTCAGCTAGAAGACCATTACTGATCTTTAACACAGATTAAGAGTAGTTTAGTTGGATTAGTTTATCAGCAAAAAGTAGAAAAACTTGGAAAAATAATGTGTTTTTCTGTTCAGTGAAGTGCTCGATGTCTCGGCTGATAGTAAATAACTGATCTCGGGTGAACCATGAAATGAGATCAATTGGCTTTTTAACACGGAGATCAAACCAAACATCTGGAACAGCTGGCACCTGAGGAATCCAGATAATATTTGGATGATAAACTGACAGGCAGCAGCGCCGTGGTTTGTTCACGTTTACACTAAGGAGAATCCTGTCGGGTCTTAATTCACCAGGTCTTTGTTCTTTTAATGAGCAGCTCACTACATAATCCAGCTGTTTATTTTGTTTGGTTTTTTTACACATCTACAAAACAGATTTAACACGTAAGCAGAGTGACGTTAATCAGGCAGCTTCCAATTGATGAGACAATAAGTTTTGCTGCTCCTTCTCCATAATGTAAGTTATTTAATAATAACTAATCAGATCTGCTCCACCTGTGCAAACTATACGGATCAAAACCTCACATCCATCAGCTTAAACTAAACAAAAATGCTGGTTCTGCTGAGCATTTCTTCTAACCATCTTTAATTAATGTAAAATAAAATGGACTTTAATGGACAAACTAGGGTCATATTTAAAGTTTAACCAGCAGATTCAGATTTTCTTGTAGCCAGGTCAGTAAACTCACCCTTGCACGTTTTTGCTGTAGAAGTTGGTAAACAACAAAACCTAAATTTATTGTTCTAAATTTGAGGTGATGGAAACATAATACCAGTTTTCTGTCTGCTGTTGAAGCAGATGGCTCATTTAGTACCTGCTGTTTAAAAAATGGCAAAACTAACTATCAGGGTTAGTTGTGATCCACTACTTGCTTACAAAACAGTCCTGAACTAGTCTTGTATCCTGAGTTGTACAAATTAAACTTGGAAGAGAAAGCTGCAATTAATGCATTTCTAACTTTCATGATTTAAAATGAGAGTTTAGTGTAAAATAGAAGAGAAAGGCCTTTGTTTGACAGATTGTTTTGTTGTGATTTATTTAATGCTTTGTGGAATGTCCTGATCTTCTTGTACCGAAGCAACATAGTTGGGTTTCCACCCTCCCTCTTGGCTTGAAGGTCAGACTGAATGTCAGCAAAAACCAGTCTGGCATCTTTATAAGCATCGTCTGGATTTTATTTTCTCACGAGCGTCTGCAGGGACCTGTCCTCTTCGTGCCCTTTTGTTCCCTCATTTTCTGCTCCCTTACACTCCAAGATAAGATTTCTCCTGCATCTGTAAAGCAAATGGGTCAAAACATTTGTTGAATATTGTTTGAACTCGGCACTTCAGAGATTTCAGTTCAGCTGTGAGGAAATGAAAAAGAAATCTTTGTTTAGATCTAAGACAGCAGATGTTATATAGTAACTTTATTAATTTTGGCGAATGTCTTCTGAAGGGCAATGTACAGCTTTTACCATAGTACAATACTTTATAATTACAACATTTACAGGTGTAGTTTATACATCGAACTGAATGATGAACAGGCACTGGAAACAAAATATTGACTCTTTGCTTACAGATATGATTTTTTTTTTTTTTTTTTGTGACGGCTCCTGTTTACAGCAGATGAACACAATGTGTTTCATTCAAAAGGGAAACAAAGTTACATGTAGACTTATCACACAGCACCCACCCCATGATAAAAAGATGCAAATTTAGAACAGTGGACAAATTAAATTGTAGCAAAGTTCACGTTTACGCTCATCTGACAAAAAAAGAGGGGAAAATATTTAACAAGAAGAAAAAAATATGAGCAGGGACAACAAAAAAAAAAAGTATTTTCAATTTAAACTGTAACCTGAGTTACTTTTTTTTTTTTTTGCAGTTTAAAAAGTCAAAGTGAAAATAAATGAATTTGAAGAGGCAGCTTTAGTATTTTATAAAGCCACTTTGAAATAAATAAAAGTATAAATAAACAAGCAGGCAAGCAAACAATGTTTTTCCCCAAGTATAAATTCTTGTAATAATCCAGTGTCTGAATCTGTCCTCAAAAAATAGTCTAATACAAGTTTTTCCCCATGCCCACCCCACCAAGAAGGAACAGTGAAGGTTCTGATGGACGAAGCGGAGTGTCAAACAGGGTTCATCGGTTTTCTTGTGATTAAAATTTTTTTATTTTATTTTTTTCCCTCCTAATGTGCTTTAAGGTCTGCCGGGGTTTTTATCGTACCTCAAAGGTTGTCCTGCGTGTGTGAGGCCTGTTTCAGAGATCTGTTCTGGTGGAACTACAGGAGTGAACCAAGATGGAGGAAAAACTGCTTCATGTCCTGATGGTGAGCGCAGCCGTACAGGCGTCTGGGCTAAAGCACGGTGGCGTTGTGGCCTTCCATTCGGGGCAGCCTCGGGTCCTGCACTGTTCCCATGGTAACCAGCAGTGGGCGGCTGTCCTCAGACACGCCCGACCGACCCAACGACATTTGATTGGGAATAGTCGCCCCTCTCGGATGGTTTGCCGAGGTTGGCACAGGCAGACCTTGCTGGGGTGGAGGGGGGTTGGTGATCCCGTGGGCTGCGTCCAACGGCAGGCCGTGATCCTGGTATCCGTAGCCGATGTTCCCACACGGGAAACGTCTCAGTCTGTAGAGTGGAACTGGAGGCAAGGCTGTTGAATCTAAAAGGAGAGGTGATTGGCCTGCAGGTGGGGGCGGTGGAGGTAACAGCGGCCTGCAGAGGCCCTGCTGCTGCTGCTGCTGCTGATGGTGCAGCAGCTGCAGTTGGTGCTGAAACTGCTTGTGCTGGTGTTGGAGACCTATTGCCCCCGCCACCTCGGCCACAGTCCGACCCACCTGCTCCTGCCCCTCTCCCGGCACCCTACCAGTGCTCCCTCCGGGACCCCCCACCCCTCCCAGCCTCTGCTGCTTCCTCTGCTGCTGAAGGAACCACGAGCCGTATGTGGGATTCCAGAGACTGGTGTTTTTGCCGTTGTGGCCCTCCTTCTCCTGGGGGTGCCCCTGGGCAAAAGCAAGGTTAATGTGGCCCCCCTCGGAGCTTGGTTGGGTTGCGACATGTGATGCCTTGGCAGCGAGTGTCGCGGAGACAGCGGAGGTGACTGGGATAGTGGTTGTCATGGCGATGGAGGTCTGTGTGTGAGGCTGGTGAATGCATGGCTGAGGCTGGACGGACGTCTGTGCTTTGGCCTCGGCTGCTGTGCTCGTCACGACCGTGTGCTCCCCCCCTCTTCTGTCCCCTGCAGGATAGGATGGCGCCAGCTGTGGAGCCTCCCCATCAGACGTCTGGGCTTTCACGATCACCGCTGGAGCTGAGGGGTCGTCAGGGCGACTGGGTACATGCTCCTCCTCCTCGGGAACAGGCCCGTACTCCACAGGCAGGGGCGTGGTCACCACATCTGGGTCCTAAAACAAACTTTCATCAGAGGTATTCTATACAAGAGCAGTTACACTCACTGTACTTAAATTTGCAGACGGTGTCACTTAATAAAATATTGACAGGCTGCATGATGCTCTAGTTCAACACAACCTTGTGTAGTATCAACTTACACATGCATTGTTTGCAGAAACTAGGAACACACAAAGATTGGGCTAAATTTAGCTTTTTTTTTTTTATTTTTTTTTATTTAATTTTTGTTTATTGTAGAAGTTCACATTGACTAAATATGACCTAAAGTTAAGTATATATGTATAATAAAACCATAACCTATTAACTATGCTGGATAGAAACAGATCTTCGATGGGCTTGTTTAAGTAATTCAACAGCTAACATAAAATGTGTTTTCAGTACAATTTTTAAAATCCTCTGCGTCAGGCAGAGATGAGAAACTTGACAGCTGAAACATCTGGAGTATTATTGATCTTGGGCATTTTAAACGAGTCAGAACATCAATGAGCAGCTGCCGATGTTAGCGCTGGCATGCTTTGTTGACGCCAAAGCAGCTGGCTCCAGACCGCAATGCATGATGGGATACTTTAATTGATGCAGTGTGATGCTTTTGGACACAATCCTTACTGTGTGATGAGCTTTAATGTTACTACGAATTTACGAAAAACAACACTAATTTCGTTTAACACATCCGTTTACCTGTAAGCAGTAATCGATTCTCTCAAGAATCGTGGAAAAGTTGGGTCTGTCTTCAGGCTGGTGCTGCCAACTCTGAGTCATTATACGATACCTAAACAAAAACACATCATTAGGTTTTGATTACTTTGCCTCTGTGTAGCTGCTGAGAGGCTCCCCGGTACCATTTCTCTTACTTTAGTCTAGAAATGTAATCTAGATTAATTGTAAAAAACAAAAACTGCTTTTTAATACCTGTTCCGGTTGTTTCTTGTAGAATCAAGCGTAACCTCCCACCAGTTTGCTCCTCTAATCTCAGTCATCCATTTAACAAAGTCTTGGCTGTGATTTATTAAGCTGATCAGTTTGTTTTTGGTGCTTACATCACTATTATAAATACCACGGCATTCCCAAAGAGATCATGAAAAATACGAGGCTGTAGAACTTTGGTTATAACAGACCTGCAGACATAGTTCAACCATTCTGAACCTGTCGTAAATAGCTTTTTGAAGAGGTAAAACTTAGGTTGGGTGAGTCTGATGACTTGTCCAAATGCAGAATGTCACAGAGTAGAAAGAACTGGGAACATTGTTTATGTTGGTGTGGTAATTTTCTGGGCATTTTTATTATTGGATGAGGAGACAGCTCAGGTAAAAGGAACTGGTTGATGAGAACAGGTGAGAAAGGTCCAAGGCTGGCGATCTGCAAACCGCTGACCACGCCAATGGTGATTAGACCCAACCAGGAGAGGAAGTCAAGTATTAGACGGGGAGAATGCCCCTTTGTGCTTCACTGATGTTAATTAATGTTGAGAACGCCGAAGGTGAAATCACCGCCATGTAGCAGCGCAGAGGGAAGGACAATGACCAGAAGATGGCGGCCTGACTAGAATAAAAGCTGTGGCTTTTGGCAGATGTGGGAACTGGCAAAGGAGTTGACTAAAACAAACAACTCCAGTCTTCTAAAGGTTCATTGCACTTCATTTGGCTGCCATTTTAAAAACCTTTGCACAGTCTTCAACTTGGTCAAACCTGCCAAATTATAAAACTTCTGCCAGAAGTGCTACATCTGGTTGCTGCTATTTGCCTGTGTAAATAACAGTGTAATACAAAATTGATGGCAACATAAAGGTTTATAAAATGGTGTTTACATATAAACAGCTGAAAAATGTGGGGACTGGAGCAAGGTAGGAACAGGCGAGATATGAATTGATCATTTAAAAAAAAAAAAACTTCAAAATAGCTTTAACATCACAGAGAACAGACTTTTGTTGTGAAACCCCACATTTCATTTGATATCAAATTTTCAAAAGTCACATGGAAGGCTAAAGGTTAAAGTTTGTAAATGTTTTAAGCTCACTCGCAGCTCCACATGACTTTCTTTAAACCAGTGGTGTCCAATCCTGGTTCTTGCATGGTTTTAGATGATTCTCTCCAACACCCCAGGCTTCTGCAAAAGCTGGAGATAATTGAATCAGATGTGTTGGAGCAGACTGCATGATAATGGTCCCTCATGGACCAGGATTGAACACCACTGCTTTATTCTATGAGGAAATAAAAACATTGAAAACAAACGTCAGATCACAGCTCAGCTGCTTGTCAGTATCTGTCTTCACCACTTGCTCTTGCCAAGATGGGACGCTATTCCCTTTCCCTCCCTCACCGCTTTGCTGCTCTGCCTGTCTGTGAAACTACTTCTGAGCCTCTCTTGCATATCTTCCGAACACCATAATTATGGACTTGTTTTGATCAGTTGGTCCCTCAACACAATTGATAACATTTCTTCGAAGAGAAGACAGGCTTTAGGCGAGCTGATTTGCCCTGTTGGCACACACACAGCTGGATATCTCATCGACTTGAAGACTTGATGATGTGTCTATCTCTGCTGCCATTTGTGGATTTTAAGGACTGGATTTACGATAACTGGTTCCTGCTTTTTGGATTCGGCTGGTTGCTGGTTTTATCAGCAATCAAGGAAGTCGTCGGCAGCAAATTTGGACCCGATCATGCTGCTTGCCTTTTTGATGGCTTGGTTTGTGCCCTGAGTACCCAGACTCAAATGCTTTGGGCAGAATGGATCAGATCTTGGGGATTTTACTCAGTCATGTTCCATTGATGTGGCCATGTAATTTGAACATTTCTGAACCGTTTGGACAAACACAGACTCAAGGTAGATGTCATTAAGTTCTGCCTGTCCCCAAAACAGCTGTGTGTTTATCTGAATTTGGCTCCCTTGGCTGGCCTTGAAGGCCATCTTATCTGAATTTGCCTGGAGAACATGTGATCTGATGCTTACCACCCCCTCCCTGAGGAATTTCCAACTGATAACCAAATGAAACCAGCTGAATAAACACTGTGTCATCATTTCAGAACTCTTGGATTCTCATAGACAACATCCCTCGAGAATGTTTATGGATCTTACCGGAGGACACTGGCTGATTATCCCATTCTTATCAGAATTCTTACAGTGCCCTCGAGAGCATCTAGGGACATTGCTCACCGCTCTCATTGTCCCCCCCCCCCCTATCTATGTCACTATGTGCTTGTTTGTGTGAGGTGTTTTTTAATATCAGTTTTTCTTCTTAGGCAGGAAGAAAGTCTGATAGGAATGTTTTTGCCTCCAAATTCCTACATGTGTCCAATTTCACTACTTTTGGTCTGTCAAAACAGATCTCACTTGTAAATGAGTCTTCTAGGCTCAATGTGACTTATCTGTCTAAATAAAGGTTGAATGAAAAAAAAAACATATATATTTTTTAATAAATCACAGCAACCTCTTAATGTTTGTAAATCAGATTAGTTAGACTTCAGGGGGGTTAACTGAATGCATTTATCTTTGTGAGGAGATGCACTTACACTGGCCCAGGACAGTTTTTAGGTGGGTCCATCCTTCCTCCGTTGGTTACAAACTCCAACACTTCCTGGTTACTGCGACTCGGATACGGCATGTAGCCCAGGGAAAAAATCTCCCACAACAGCACCCCAAACGACCTTTTCAGAGGAAGATGATGGAGACAGATTAGTTACAAGGTGAAAGAAAAGCAGCAAATTAAGTGGTAAATTATGGGCATCATCACTACTGAAGGCGGAGGACGAGTCGCAGCCGTCACGTTTATTAAAAAATAAACATGATGGATAGGCAGTTGATGCACGGTGACAGTACAGAAGCTGAGAACAGTCGGGGTTCTCACCACGTGTCTGTTTTCGATGTGAAGATCCCCTCCATGAAGGCTTCAGGTGGCATCCATTTCACTGGCAGCATGGCACGCCCCCCCTTCCTGTAATAGCTAGCCCTAAACGCAGAAACACACAGACCTCACATTCTAAACAGAAATCAGATTTAACAATAAATCAACTCCCTTCTACGCCCATTTTTTAAACACATCAGTGTCAGAACTCATTCTGAAATAATGAAGCAGGATTTTTACTCGGCAAAGAAAAAATAAACCATCCAGATGACATGACTGAACATTGTTGGATTTTATACCTGGATTATTGAGCATGAACTTTGATGTTTTGAACCACTTTGGCATGACTGTCTCAGAGGAGTTGATTGGGGAGAGGGCAGGCCCCGGAGGCCATCTTAGCACCAGCAAACTGTTTTTTTTCCCACTATGGAGTACTGTATACCGTTTGTGGGAATCAATTTTGTTTGGTGGCTCCTCAGATTGAAGAAGTCCTTTGGATGAAGGACGAAACGCATCAGCAAAAAACAAAGAAACCATCCAGATGACCCGAGTGAATATTGTTGGATTTTATATCTGGATTAATGAGCATGAACTCTGGGGATTTTTATTTCGTTTTCTTGCCAGGTTGGTCTCTGCACCATTTCTAAATCTGACCTGTGCTCTCACTGACCTGGTTCTTTATGACCTCGCTCAAGGTGGCTTCCACTCAGGCATGAATCTACAAAGTCCTCCACAAAGTAAAATAAACCTTTAAGATGACCCTTTGCTGTCACGAAGAAGTAAATCTGTGTATCGTTAACTTTTGAGACGCTTGAGAATTAGTGGGACAACTGAGCTGGACACTTTCCAGCAGAACTACATGCGTCTTTGTGCGAGTAAAGGAATTAGACGAACACCTTCTCTACTAGAAAATTCAGTGAAGCAGCAGCTGCTCGGCTGAAATGCCACATGGCTGACCAGAACAGATTTGTAATTACAGTGGGCATCTCCCAGGTGGTAATGTGACGCAGCGTAAGGGGAGAGCTCAGCTGCCATTTCTTGGATGAATAAATCAACGGAGAAGGGGAAACAGAATCGCTTAAACAAAATGTTCTCATGTTCTCTGTGCGCTCGAGCTGCAGGAACATCTTTTTGTTTTTACAAGAATATCTGATGCAGCACGTGGCTGCTGCAGGTCTGAAAGTGTTAAAGAGAATTTCAAGCTGTGCCATTTCATTCGAAACATCTGAAAGGAAATCCAAATATTATGTGTAATTTGTGCCGAGAAGCTTAATAAAACATGCAGTATTCATGCAGCGCTCTCAATCTGCATCTGACGCCCGACTTCACAGATTAAATACAAATATTTTAATATTTATTTGCATCAAACCCGCTTTTTAGTAGCTAAGATTCAGGTTTATTTACTACA